TTTCTCTCGTGTGTCCACAAAGGGCCGGTGCTCCATCGTTCGCGAGAGGAACGATCTATGTACTGTACTTATGTTGCTGTATCCGGGTGGCCTCGGAGGTGCGTGTTATGCCGAGGTCGTACTGTCGGCGCTGCGCACAGTCGTCATTAATGTTTAGTTTGTTTTTTCTTGAATGAAAATTCCCACTGGTACGTTTTTGCTGTCACTCTGGTAGCCTAAAGGGCAACAGGGTGGCGGCGCAAGTGGTAACACTCGCGCCTAACAGCAAGAAGGGTTCAACTCCTGGCTTGTGCGCCTTACTCTGTGGAGTTTGTAGCTTCTCTCCCTGTTCTGCGTGGGTTTCCTCCGGGTTCTACCCATAGCTAAAAACACACACAATGTAACCGGTATTAGCCAAGCATTCCAATGCTGAAAATGTACCTCTAAATTACTCAATTAAAACTTGGCAGGACACTCCTGACAATCTTGAAATTCAGTAAAGCTATGCAGGATGAATAGATCATTCTTATTTACGGTAACATTTGCTTTTATATAATTTATCCCAAATTATCAATTATCTTGCACGATGCAATTCGCATATTGTTACAGTAAGAATCATAATCAAATTAAATGCAGTCGCATTTAGACGGGAAGTAAATCTAAATGCTTTTATACTAAACACATGAAACATTGATTGGTTAGCTGTTTGTGCCGCAACATGCGTTGGCTTAAGGCTGGTGTTCATCATTCACCGGAGGAAGGTTTTATTATGCGATGATTCTCTTTGTCTGCGCCGCGATGCGGCGAGATTAAACCTCGCACCGGGAGAAGATGAGAGGACAGATGCAAGTGCTGCCCGATACGCGCGACTCCCGTGAAACGTGCAGGGCCGAGCTGCTGGCAGGATGCCCTCTCCCGTCTCCTCGCCACTCAACACCACCCGAGCGAGTGGGTGGGATGGCGAGCGAACGCTTTCTAATCAATTCCCGAGGAGCAGCGCTCACTGCCGTGATTAGCAGTGATGAGAATCCGAGGCGGCGGTGGCGGCGATCGAAACCAGAGAAGTCCTTGGGACAGGGGTCGCCACTCGCGGCACGTAAATGGGAGTGCCTCGCTTGACAAGCGGACTGACGCCCTCCCTTTACGAGGGATTTCACGGGCCCCGCAGCTCCGGTCGGGGAGCGGGGGGCACGTCCCGTGTTTGCATGGCTGGGCGATCAGGGCAGCTATTTCTATGGGCACGCGGACGCGCATGTGACCCACGTGACCCTTCTCTCCGATGGGCGTGTGGCCCAGTGCGCATCTCGAGAAATGGGAAACGTGTGGACAAAGGAGCATCGCTGTGTTTGTGCGCCGTGCCTGTCTTGGCTAGAGTGGCGGGGGTGTTGTGTGGGAGGCACGCGTCTCTGATCGCTTGTTTACCTTATGTTTAGTGGCACGTCCTGGAGCTCGGGTTTTCTCGTGGTGATCTGCGCGAAAGCACTCTTACTTACATTCGGTTTGGTGAAGGACTCCAGCAATAACATCCTCCTGGCAGCAGAGGGGAAAACAAAAAAACTCTGCCTTATTAATACACTGTTACAAAAACACTGCACCACGGATTGTTCGTTTCAGGAAAAAACAGAGAGTGAGTGGACTGCACGGGATTGGGGTGCGTGGAGAGAAGGAATTGGCAGCGAGAGGGGGGCACGGCCACCAAGTGCTGGCGCTGGGGGAATGAATGGGATTCACCAGACCTGAATTACTAGAAACAATTATTTAGCTTCATTTCGATTTTCAATTTCTAATTCCATGCAGTTATTTCTCTGATTACTATTTGTTGCATTGTTTTATTTTATTTGCTTGGCTTTTGTTATTTTGGTGACCACTCAGGTCACTTGTGCAAATGAGACTCCTATCCTGGTCTCTCGAGTTCTTATTTGGTCACACAAACTTGACTTTACTTATTCGAATCAAAGCATAGTCATATAAACTGATTAACTTATTTTTTTTTAACACCTGATGACGACCGTTTGTGTTATGGTCGAAACGTCGTGAGAATCTTTATTGTTTTATATATATATTTTATTGTTTCCCTTCAACGTGACTTTACGGAAAGAACTAAGGATATATATATAACTTATTATTCATAAAGCAAATTTAACTGTCTGTGAATGGATGGAATATGTCACTTGTAGCTTTCTTAGAATTCATATCTAGCCATGTGAATGAATGAGTGGTGGGGTTAGTGAGTTAGTTAGTGGATGAGTGGGTGGGTTAGTGAGTTAGTTAGGGAGTGAGTATGTAATTGAATGAGCAAATGTGTGCATTCACAATTGAGTGGGTGATTGAGCGAGTGAGTGGATTTGCAAGCAGGTAAGTGAGTGGGTGGGTGGATTAGTGAGTCAGTTGGTGACTGAGTGATTGAGTGGGTGGGCGTGCATATGAATGTGTGGATGGGTAGCTTAGTAGGTGAGTTGGTGACTGAGTATGTGGGTTTATGCATAAGCGAGTTGGTGACTGAGTAAATTGATGGGTGGGTGGGCAGGTGAGCGAGTGGGTGAGTGCACACAGAGACTCGGGGTTCCCTGTCTGAGATGCGTGCCTGTCATGAGTGAACGCTGCTCCTGTGCTGTGCAAAGGCAGCGGTGTTTGTTTAAGAGCTGCCTGTAAGGGTGGAAATGCCTTAGTAAAACAACTTCCTTATAGCTGTAAAAATTTTATGTTCACATTTCCTTTCATTTAATCCCAGCTGCGAGTGTGCTGGGATGCTGGCGTTTCGCCCGCTGGGCACCGGGGTTCGTTACGCTGCCCTAGCTGACCCCCCGTTGGGTAGGGGGCACAAGGGAGCTGGGAACGGGGTCAAAGGTCAAGCTGGGTGGCCCCAATGACAGCCCACCACTGCATGAGGGCCTCCCCATGCTGTGTGGGTTGTGGGGGTTATATGGCCATACTTCATCACGGGTTGGTGAAGGCGAAGAGTGTAGATGATGGAACATAATACAGTATAGCAATGGAATTTTCGGAAATGCCTTCTGTTGACAACATAGCCCTGTAGCAGTTCATAGCACCTGTTTTGCATGGTGGTCACTCATCCAAGCGCTATCTCGGCTCGGCCTGCTTCGGATGCCTTCTGGTTCGTTTGGTCATAGGAAACAAGTGTGAATTGAATAGCAAGAGTGTGTGGATGGGAGTAGAGTGAGATGAAAGGGGAGAGGTAGGTGAGTGCGTGGGTGAGAGTAGAGTGAGATGAGAGGGGAGAAGTTGGAGAGTGTGTGGAGTGGAGTTGAGTGAGATGAGAGTAGAGAGTTAGGCAGGGGTGAGGCTATGGAGGACCTTGAAGGTGGCGAGTGGGATCTTGAAAATTTCCCCAATTGTGGAGGGATGGGAGTGTTGGGGGGACCTGGTCTCCTGCCATCGTCCCACCCACGCTGCCGTGCAGGGGAGGGGCGTCCAGCGTGTGATCACGACGACCTGCATTCACTTCCCTTCGTTCCAATAGCGGTCGTTAAATGATTGCACCCAGCGATAACAATCTCCAAGTGTGCACTGTGGCCTGCACACTTGATTCCTTTGGAATCTAATTTCAGATTACCGTAGCAACATACAGCGCGTTACTGCATGTTAAGCACACGCAATCACGGTGGGTGTAATCTGTGTGACTTGCTAGGAATACTGCGCAGGCTAATGCTGCATGGGCTACGCTGTGGGGCCCAGAGGGCAGTTCACCAAAATCTAGTGTTGTACTCTACTTCTATGCTTCCCCATCTATGCTCCCCGCCTTACCGGGGAGAGGGGTGAGTGGGTTGAGTACGTTATGAGAGGGGAAAGAGGGGTGCGAAGAGAGAGAAAGCGGCCAGCGGGGATGGTAGGGATAGAGGGGTGAGCGGGGAGTGAGCTCGGAGAGAGGGTGAGCAGAGGGGTGAGCGAGGGCACGAAGAAACCCTCATTAGCAGGGGCGCTGGGACCTGGCAGCCGACACTGGGGGCCCTGCCAACGTCACTCCTCATTCACTGCCCTCGGGCCTCTAGGGGTCATTATAATTCTTGCTGCGCAACACTATTAATGAATCATTGTTTAACGTTTGTGGTAAAAAAACGAGAGTCCTCTCTCCCTGAATACAAGTCAAGACGTCAGCCAAGAAACCATCCACCGGGGGGTGGTGTTGTGTCCCCTGTGTGTATGCAGTGTTGGGTAAAAGGGAGTCTGTTTTGTTGACGGGAAAAAAAATAGATTGTATGTATTAATTGTCCAAGAAAAGTGATTGCATAAGTTTTGTGAATCATTGTTGGGTGAAACCGCTGCAGGCTGGGATTCTACTGCTTGAAGAGAAGTTTCCCACTTGCTTAAGTGAGACGGCAACATTGACCGTTGCAAAAAGTTATGGTTTTACATTTAGGGAAATAGCTTTCCCACTGATTTACAATGAAAACTGGATTTTACAAATATGACTTAAGGGAACATTTTGAATGTGAGGCAATATTCCGAGTTGCTTTAGAATCCCAGGCGGTTGGAGCGCTGAGCCGTCACCACTGGTACCTGGGTTTCAGTCTGGGTTTTAGCCGCCCATGATTCGACTAGATGCTGAGTTGATGACCTCAGCCCAGTGACCAATAATTTCACAAAAACACGAAGCTAAATTTGATTTTCACTTAAATTTGCGAGTATTTCTGCTCTGAAAATGTTAATAGTTGAGTTTGAATGCCGTGTGTGGATAAAAGAGGCCACTTGAAAGCTTCTCAGAAGTAGTTCTGTGATATCTCCTTCCACGGGCTGTTCTCTAGCACAGCATGACACATTGCGCTACGAGTGTTCCAAAGTGATACTGCAGCTTGTGGCATGACGCCGTTAACACAGTGGGGATTGACTTGGGAAATAGATGTTTTTACTGTAATTGTGGTAATCGGATTTGCTTTCTTGCTGAAGGTGGTTTCTTGAGGTCAAATCTGGGCAAGGAGGTGCTCCACGATCGTCTTTCCACCTGTCAGTCACAAAATCTCGCATAGGCAATGGGGACGTGGGCCGATCGCCCTGGCGGTGTGTGGTCGTCGTGGCCAGACACGGCCGGCATTGATGCTTGGAGTCTCCAGGCTCCGGTAAAGCCACTTGTCCAAATCTTGCAAACGTGTGACTGGAGTTTCTAGATTTTGGGAAAGTGCCCTTGGTGGCTATGCGCCGCGCTCTGAGCTGCCACTTTGCCAGCGCAGCGTGTTTGAAGTCGGGCACGGAGAGCTACACTTTCGCTCCAATTCTCGGATGCCGTGTGTCATGATGTCATGCGGAACGTAAAGGTTCCTTTTTTTTAAACTGCAGCAAAGCCAACAGCTGGTGCTGATATAAGTGATGTTTTCTACGGAGTGGGCTGCAGAGCAAAACATGAGCATTCTCCCCGCGCGGGAAGGAACTCGCGCCGCGCCGCACTAAGATGCTGCGGAACCCTGCGCCGCCGGCAGAGATTGCCCAGGAAATCTTAATCACATGACAGCACTTACAGCCTGAGACGCTGGTGGAGGAGGGGCCACGGTGCTGTGAGCGAGGGCAAAGTCTGAGGCACACTCAACTGAGCGGAATCGCTGATGAAACTTCACACAAAATCTCCACGCTGGAACACGGCGTGACTATCAGAGCCGTGCCAGGTGCTGTGTAATACGCGCACACACACACAGTGTCCGCACAATGAGACATTGTGCGCTTAAGAAATTTACCCTATTTAGCAGTCTTGGCACACGTATGCCTGCGGGGTTTATATTTACTGCGCGTGTATATATATTTTTTCCGCCGTCTCGTCTGGCAGGTCGGCGTGGTGAAGGCGGTGACGGTGCTGGGACACGGCGTTGCGCCCTCACAACTGAGCCGGGGTGTCCATCATCATCGACGTCGCTGAGAGAGAGAGGATCTCCCGACCTGGACACAGCAGCCATGGAGGCCAGCAACCGCTCTCCACAGCCGGCGCTCAAGTACGAGCAGACGCTGGTACGTACCGAGCCCACCGCGAACGTACTCGCCGCTGGTGCGGGGGGCCCGCGCTCGTCCTCCCCGCCGCTACGTTGGCTTGCGAGCGTGCTCGTTGACCGCACGGGCTGATGCTGACACTCATGTAAGGATCCTGGCAGCTTTAGCTTGGGAGCAGTTTAAATTTTGCTTTGTGAGGTCCCGCTGCTGCTGTGTCTGGTGAAGATGTTGTTAATGCTACTACTGCCGCCACCTCTTGAGCAGCTGTAGGGAAATCCTACGTGCTGGAGACGGTTGGTCCAGTATTGGAGTGACGCGACACGTCGAGTGCGCATGCCGAGGCAGGTTGGAGATGTTGCCTATTCCGGTGCCACGATCCGCTTTCAGCATGGTGCCCATTGGGCTACAGTTATTTCTGAGAACATGACCACTCTGGTGGCTGCGTGTGTTGATGTGTTGCATAATCACTGCTTTTTTTTATTATGCTGTAAACTTCTTCGTATTCTTGGTTCTTTCGGTAAAGTCACGTAGAAGGAAAACAATAAAATAATTAAATATATATAAAACAATACAATTCTCACGACGTCAAACGTCAAACGTCGTGAGAATTTTGCAGTCACGAAAGATTTAAATACCAGCAGTCACGAAAGCTTTAAATCAAAATTTATTCTTCGTAATTATGGCATTTCCGTCATTCCAGTGGGGCCAGCTTTACTGTTCTTCTTTTTCCACACACTTCAGTCCCGTGCCATCATCTCCACATCCACTCCACACTCCGTCACATGCTGGTCTCACCACCTCAAACCACCTATCCCTAGGCCTGCCTCTCGGTCTCACCCCGGTGCTGCTAATGGACAAATCGTTCTTGCTGCACCATCATTCATATCTTCATCATTATTGTCACAATTGTATGTTTTGATTTTGTTTTCATTCATTGTTTTGTGCTATAAATACAAGGACCCGGCATTCTTAGAATGTTTTTGGCTTCTGGATTCAGTGAAAATTACAAAGTCCCCAGAGACCTCAACTAGGGCACCCTAATGATCGCGAGTCCCCCCGCACCCCCCGCAGTAGAAGCATTTAGATTATAACAAGAAGCAGCACGGCAGCGTGAACCGGTGTGAACCCTGCGCAGCGCTCGCATTGTGGGATTGTGAGGGATGAAAGGGGCTTGTGACTGCGCACCCGGGTACGTGGGGGAGACAACGGGAGACACGACGCTGTCCAGAGACGCCCCGTGCGCTGCTTGGGAATGCGAGCCTTTGCGTTAATACCTTGAGTCAGCTTGTAAACGCGACGGCTTAAACTGCTGTGTGTGTTCGGGCTGCACGGCATCGTGGGAAGGGACCACAGTTCCATGTGGTCTGCGCAGACCTCACAAGCACGCATGTACGCACACATCTGTGCAAAGCAGCATAACATGACCATGTGGTATGGACGCCCACGATGGGGAGAAGGCAACGAGGGACCGTGAAAGTGCAAGGATGGAGCAAACCGAGCAAAGGTAACTCTGTAGACATTACCCAACTACAGATGCGACACAAGACTGTGTCTATATAGAGTTATTCATATATGTAGTGAGTCCAACTGAGTCGCAGACGTTGTCTTGGGAGCAACACTATTTATTTCACCAACTCAACACACAACATAACGTAACCTACACTTGGATGTTGAACGCCCATCTAGCCACGCTACAGCAGAACTAGACACGGTTCGCTATCTCGGCCCGGACCAGAAGCTAGGTCCCGGACCGCATGGCTAGAGGCTTCTTCAATACTATGTGGATCTTCGACACCAACCACCCGAAGAACTCCGAGCCCCTCACGGCCCCCGTTATATCGGCCTGGGCTGGGGCTGGCTCCGCCCCTCGCCCTGCCCACCTTCTAGATCTCTCGAGCTCTTTCCCGAAGGCTCCCGAGAGCTCCTCTATACCACGTGAATGCCCAGCGGCCCCCGTCCACCGGTGCCCCCCCTCCAATATCATCCGGTCACGTGTCGGCAGGTCAACCAGCGTATCATACCCCAACGTCTCCCTGGCTCTCTGACACTCCCTCTTGCTCCCTCACCGGGAGCACGCAGCGCACACTGTACGCGGTGCCTCCATGCTGACCAGCGCTCACCCAAGCCCAGCTAAGGCTGGTACTATGCCCAGTAACCGGGCTACGCATAATGACAACACATTATCCACCGTGGCTTCGTAATTGCTGTGCAGCCAGCATTGGTCACATCAGTCACATGCAAACACATTCACTTTCCCTGCTATGGTTTTTGAACTCGGTCAGCTGTCATCAGTGTTTGTAGCAATGGCCATCATGGGTGGTTTGCATGGTTGGGCTTTCTCTTGTCCTGAGGCATTCTCTTTCCCTGGAGATAATCTTTGCCTAGTTTTCTTGATGCCACGAAAAATGTGGAACAGACCTCGCTGAGTGACATCATAGGGTGGATTCACCTTCTGACAAAATTGCCAAAGCAAAGTCGTTTTGGCGATTTTGTCCCATGGCTGGTGATGCAGGCACTCCAAGCATCGGGTATACTGTATTTACACACGGCAAGATGAGACTGTGGCCCCGCACAGTTTAAAGTGGAATTGAGGTTGTGCCACATAGATAAATGGGACCCGCTATTCACAACGACCTGTCATAGTGACGATCTGTCACACAATAACACTCCCAGTTTCCTAAGCAAGCTCAATTCAGCGTGGTTGGCATTGACTCCTGGTGCAAGGAATGAAACGGGGGCCACGCCTGACTGATTTTCTTCGCTCTTCATTTCCTGGTGAATGGGTCATTCCGACTTGTGGACTTCAGTGCAGTTGCACCACGTGCCGCCTGCACACTCGATGGCTACGCCACTGTCAGCAAGACCCCTTCGCTGGTTGCACCACTTGTCGCTTGGAAACCGAGCAAGCTGGCTTCCCGTTTTGCCAAGGGCGCGACTCCTGCATCTCGCTCAAATGTCCACATGTGACAATGCTGCCCGCCACTGCACAGGCAGAGTGGGAGGCCAGTGGCTTGAGCGTTCATAACTCATGCCCATGCAAAATTATGTTTTCACGCATAAAGAGAGAGAGAGAGCTTGGTGGAATATGCCGGCCAAGTAGACAACAGCATGTTTATGAGCGAAGACATCTCCCACATCTGGTTTGTGTTTCCCGTTGTTGGAAGCATTTCCCGTAGGAAATTAGTGCATGGCGAAGCGGTGGCAGTGGCGGTGCGTGGAGTTGTCCCGCGCGCAGGCATCGCTCATGGCGCCACGCGGGTCCCAGCAAGAAGGTTAACACTGCATCGGGCAGTCTAGAGCTCCTCTATGTGGAGGACCTTCCACCATTGTTGCCACAAGCCAGCGATTATAGCACTGCACCTTTAGTTGCTTTACTTCTTCACCGATTCCACGCGGCTGGAGCACGAGATCGCTTGGCTGAGCGACGTGGGAAATCTTACTCTCATGAGTGATTGATGGGTGGAGTGGTGGTGCCACGGTCAGCGCAATGCGCTATGCAGCCGTCTGTCCGAGTTTGATTCCCGGCCAGGGAAAACATCCGTGGCTACTGATGAATGAACTACTCCTGTGTCCCCCCCACTTCTCCGACCCATACTGAGGAGTGCGGCGAAGTATGGTCAACCATCATGAAGGGGAGGCCTTCATCCAGCAGTGAATTGAAAAAGCGCCATCGTCTTCTATTGGATTGAACCTTTGCTAATAACACGCAACAGCTTAATTCTATATCTTAGAACAGAGTAGAATCTTGACGTTGACCCCATTGAAGGGGTCAATGTGGTAATTATGAATAAATGATGACTAAATGTTTTTTTTTGTCCACTATAAAGAACAATTTATGGCAAACAGATTAACAACACTTGTTCTAGGAGGCCTTGACTTTTGTAGTTTGACCCCAATCTGTGCTTAGATAATTTTATTGTGCACATGACTGTCGCACAGCGTCTTGATAAGCGATTGCGTTTTGCCGCTTGTAAATCCTGATTGCCCTCACATTTCATTGTACGCTCACCAAAGACACGATACCCGGCCAAACGTGCACCCAGCTGCCTTGATGTGTGTGTGCGTGCGTGTGAGTGCATGCGTGCGTGTGACTACGTGCGCGAATATGGCCACCAACCCCCTTGTGTGCTATGTCATGCTTCATGGGTGCTTATTAACAGCGTTTGCCCCAACGGACTGTTCAACGTTGTACGGGGTATTTTTATATGTGCGTGCGTGAATGTGTGGGTATGTGGGTGCGCCAGTGGTTTATGAACTACCCTACGATTTTAGCCACCTGGGTTCAGTTCCCTGTCATAACCATCAATGGAAACTGGTATCTTAACTGTGGTGGGTTTTTTCTAGGACAAGTCGGCTCAGGTAAAGGTGGTTGGGTGTGGTGCTGGCCACTTTTCCCACTTGTTTGCCATGCCGGAATCTTGTTTGCCATGCCAATCTCAATAGGAGCTTGCTAGTCGCACTTACTCTATAGCCTCTATCACTGTATGGGGCCTGTAAGTATTTGTACGTGTGCGAGTTATTCGATTGGCAGTGTCGCGTGTGGTGGGATAAAGTGTGGGTACTCCCACCTCTCCAAAGAAGTCCAGTCAGTGAAGAAGAGCAGTCGGTGAAGAAGAGCAGTCGGTGAAGAAGAGCAGTCGGTGAAGAAGAGCAGTCGGTGAAGAAGAGCAGTCAGTGAAGAAGAGCAGGCCAAATACCCTCTAAAGGCCTCTCTAGAGATTATCTCCAGTGGAGTCCCTTCCCACAGCAGTGGCGTGAACAAACTATGTCAGGGCTGCGCATTTACCTTTAACTCCTGTTTAGGCAGCACAGACCTTTGGCCAGTATTCTACGAAGGCCGTGTGAGAGGAGCGGCTGGGCTCGGACCTTCAGCGTGAGAGGGGCACTCTGTCACGTGTGCAAGTAGGTGTTACCTACTCGTGCACAGGCGTCAGGATTGGGATTGAATCCACCAGGCGAGGGAGATGGATAACACCTCTCACCACTACATCTCCTACAGTCCTGCTCAATAATAATCCACC